CATCCCGGCTCGGGCGGCCCCCACTGAAGCCCCCACCGAGGCGGGAGCCACCCCTCCCCTGTCCGCGCTTCCCAGCCCCAGGCACCAGTCCACCCCTAGGCGCTCCAGGGCGCTGAGCTGGGCCGCCAGGGCCAGGGCCCCACGCCCGCTGCCCCTCTTCCTGGGCCGTGCCCCACCTCCCCGCGCGGCACCCCGACAGCCACCCCCAAAGGTGTACGTGACACGGGTGCGCCCAGGCCTGCGCATGGCCCCCCCTGCCCTGGCGCCACTCAGCCCACGTGGCCCACCCTGGTCGCCCTTCCCCGGTGTCTTTCTGCGCCCCAGACCTCTCCCCAGGGTGCAGCTGCAGGCGCCCCCACGCCCACCCCGGTATCGAGGCCGCAGGACCGGCGGCTCCCAGGCCACAGAGCTGCGGCCTCCAGCCCGGGCGCAGGCCACCCAGGGGAGCTGGGAGGGCCAGGCTCGCGTGCTGGAACTCACGGCACCCACCTCGGACTTGAACTCATCGTCTGAAACGGGGCCTGTGACCTCCTTCCTGAGCTTGTCCCAGGTGTCCAGGCCACAGCTGCCTGGGGAGGGGGAAGAGGAGCAGGAGGGGGAGGAGGACGATGATGGGGCTCCGGGAGACGAGGCCATGTCGGAGGACAGCGAGGAGGCAGCTGGCCCGGCCCTCAGCCGCTGGCGCGAGGACGCCATCGACTGGCAGCGCACGTTCAGCGTGGGCGCGGTGGACTTCGAGCTGCTGCGCTCCGACTGGAACGACTTGCGCTGCAACGTGTCAGGGAACCTGCAGCTACCTGAGGCCGAGGCTGTGGACGTGGTGGCTCAGTATATGGAGCGGCTGAATGCACGCCACGGCGGGTATGGGGCGCATGGAAAGGGAGACCCTCAGACCTTACCCACAGCTGGTCTGGGAGTGGCACACACGACCCGAGGGAAGTCTCCTCTCCTTTCTGGGCTTCCTTAGCGTCCAGGGCCCTTGTCCATTGTGAGGACCCTCACCTCCCACCCCACCCCAGAGCTGGCTCCCCTGTCCTGCACCTCCACACCCCACCTTGTCACCTCGAACCTGGACCTAAGAGATGACTGAGCCACCCAGGCCTCTCCAGATAAGCACACCCAAAGGTCGAGCTAAGAGCCCCTAGACCCTCCTCTCCTGACACAGTTCTGCTAGGTCTTCCAAGAGGGGTCTCCACCTGGCTCTGGAGGGTGCAGTTTCTACCCCATTGACCCCAGTGGTCTCCCCCAGGCCACAGAAATCCAGTCCTGTCTCCACCCCAAGCAGGTAGGGGGTGGAGAGTAGGGGCCCCGGTTTGACCTCCAGGAAGGCATTGGGGGATTCAGAGTTGTGCCAGCCATGAAGAAGGGGCAGAACCTGCAATGACAGCAGTGACAAGCAAAGGCATTGGGACCGGAGGCCAGGGAGGCTGGTGGGAGGACTGAGAAGGGACAGTCGTGGCCCTGAAAGCCACACTCAGGAGTCATTTTTCTTGCCTGCCATACAAGGTCTGTGCAGGACAGGGGGCCTTGTTTGGGTTGAAGACACGCATATCGCTGCCTTGGAGGGGGGTGGGTGGAAGGGGAGCCCATGGGGACCATGACTGAGGGCTTGACATGACCACGATGTCACCATGGCAGTGATAGGATGGCCTGGATTGAGAGTGGGGGATGGGGGAGATTTGGTTCTAGGTGACAGAGGACAAGCCTGCCCTTTGCTCTAAGCTCATAGCAGCTCAGCATCCATGTCCCTCGGGCACAGGGGGGTGTGCTCAGCGGAGTGGTCATGGCCCTGGCCCCACCTTCTCCAAGAGATGCAAGGGTGTGGGGGGCCCCAAGGAGTGAGAGTGTAGACAGACCCAGAGCGTTTGGGGCAGGAAGTCCCTGACTTTTGGGGAGAGCCTGGCGGGGATGGCAGGGGTTAAAGAGAGGAGTCTGGACTCCTGGGAGGTCAGATGGGGCTCCTAGGGTAAGAGGCACTGGC